AGCAGGGGCAGCTGGAGCTGGGGTGGCTTTGACAGGGCTCTTTGGGGGTGCCTTGGCCTCAGCAGGGGCAGCTGGAGGCGGGGTGGCCTCGACAGGGCTCTTTGGGGGTGCCTTGGCTGCAGTGGGGGCAGCTGGAGCTGGAGGAGCTGCAGGAGGTGGGGTGGCAGGAGCTGGGGGAGCAGCACCAGGGCTCTTGGGAGCAGTTTTGGCTGCAGGTGGGGTGGCTGGAGCTGGTGTGGCAGGAGTTGGGGTGACAGCAGGGGCAGCAACAGGGCTCTTGGGAGCCTCCTTGGCTGCAGGTGGGGCGGCTGGAGCTGCTGAAGCTGCCACAGCCAGTGTGACAGGGACAGGGGGGGCAGTGGCCGGGCTCGCAGGAGCTGGTTTGGCTGCAGCAGAGGTGGCTGGAGCTGCCATGGCTGGTGTGACAGGGACAGAGGGGACAGCTGGGGCAGTGAATGGGCTTGCAGGAGATGGTTTGGCCACAGAAGGGGTGGCCAGAGCTGCCATGGCTGGTGGGACAGGCGGGGAGCTGGCAGGGGGGACAGCAGGCACAGGAGCTGCTGGTGGCAACAGGGGACTCACTGGAGCTGGTGGCCCTGGGGGAGATAGAGCAGCCCCCAGAGCAGGTGTGGCCATGGCAGGAGCCACAGGAGCTGCCACAGGAGCTGCCACAGGCACTGCCTGAGGGTCCGGGCTCCCAGGAGGGGTCCTGGCCACCGAGGGAGGGAGCAGGTGCCCCACAGCTGGGGCCACTGGGGCAGGGCCCATGGGACAGGCCTTGGCAACAGACGGACCAACTGGGACCAGTGGAGAGACTGGAGCACCTGGGACAGCAGGAGGACACCCTGGGGACATCCCAGCTGGCAGCAGAGGGATGGGGGGTGACAAGGGGGCCTTGGGGGCAGCCAGGAAGACGGGTGGAGAGATGGCACCCAGGGCCGGGCACTGGGTCAGAGCTGGGGCTTGGGGACAGGCCGGAACAGAAGGCAGAGGGGTGGAGGCAGCACTGCCAGGAGACACCGGGACTGCCAGGGCCACGGCAGGGTTGAGAGGGGCTGCAGGAACGGGGGGTGAGCCCGGGCTCTGGGGACTCACTGCCATGGTGGGAGCAGGCAGGAAAGTGGGGGACACTTTTGGTGGGGGAGATGCCACAAGGGGTTGGGAAGAGGGAGGCAGGAGAGGGGCCGGGGCTGCTCCAGGAGCAGTGGGAGGGACTGGGGCCGCAGCTCCTGCTGGGCTCAGAGGGACAGCAGCAGGAGCGGCTCTCACAGGAGAGGGGAGAGCAGCAGGAGCAGCAGCCAGACCAGGGGACACCGGAGCCTGGAGTCCTGGAGATCCTGGGCTAACTGGGGCAGGCCCTGGAGATCCTGGGGGTGCAAAGCCCACCGGGGACGGCGGAGCCGGAGGAGGGGAGGTGGTGACTGGGCCCGGCAAAGCCGGGGCAGGGGGCTGGGGAGGCACAGAGAACACGGGGATGGCCACGGCCGGGACCACGGGGGGGGACACGGGGGTCGGGGGGCCCGGCAGAGCCACGGCAGCAGCGCTGGGTGGCTGTGCTGGGACAGCCTGGGCAGATGGAGATGGAGTCAGAGGTGGGGAATGAGCAGCATGAAGAACAGCTAAAGGAGAGAAACAGAGTGAGCCATGAGAGGAGGGAGGGAGGGAAGGAGGGAGTGGCCAGGGAGCCTGCCCTGGCCTTTCTCCCAGCTTTGGTGCCCAGCCTCCAGAGCAGCAGGCACTGCCCAGCCTGCCAGGGGCCACACAGACTGGGACACTCGTCCCTTTCAGAAACTGCCACCTATTTTCCCAGGAGCCCTGGAATGGCAGCTGAACCACCAGGAGGCCCCACTAGGCTGGGGATGCAGGGACCTGGCTCTGCTGCCAGCTCTTCCCTACTAAAGGAGTTGCCACAACCTCCATGGAGGTCTGGCGGGACCCCAGGACTGCTCCCAAGCCTGGGATCACATCCCAGGCTAATGGGAGCAGGGAGGGACAAGGACCCACTCAAGGAGAGGAAGGAAGTCAAGTGTAACCCACTGGCATGCAGAACTGTTCCTGGGAGCCCCCTCCCTCCAGCCCTGTGTGACACAGGCAGGTGCCCTGAGGGGACAGGGACACCGAGGCAGGGGATGGTGGGTCCAGGACCCCCAGAGCCCCCCAGGAGCTGTTAGGGTTAATGGAACTGCAACCCCTGGAACGGCACACGCTGGTTAATGCGGCACACGAGGGGTTACAGGATAGTCCCGAGTACCTGGAGCAGGGATGGGAGCAGGAACGGGGGCAGCTGGAGCTGGACGGGGAGAACAACAGTTTATTAAGGCTCGTCCCACTGACTGGGAGTGCTCGGCTTCCAACTCCCTGAACCAGCGCTGAGGGAGCCTGGAGAGAGCCCTGCCAATCCCAACACAATTCCCAATGCCAACCCAAGGGTGCTGCTCAGGGCAGAGCCTGGAGAGAGCCCTGCCAATCCCAACACGATTCCCAACGCCAACCCAAGGGTGCTGCTCAGGGAAGAGGCCGTGGTTGCTGGGAGGGCAGCGCTGGTCTGACCAGTGAGACCGGCCCTGCCAGAGCAGAACCGGCCCACCCGCGGTGCCGCCCTCGGGCAGCGCGTCCTGGCACGTCCGGGGAGGGCAGTGGGACCAGGGAGGATCCCCAGCAGCGCTGGAGCCAAAGCCAGCCCAGGGTGGCCCTGCCCAGCTTCCCCGTCCCCCCCTCGGATCGGGGTCACACCCGTGTGTGGAGCTCTCCGTGGGGAGTGCTGGCCCTTTCCCTGCCTCAGGAATGCTGTCCCAAAAGATGTCTCCATTGCCCGCAGTGGGCATCAGTGCCAGGATAATTCCTGCTCCGAGGAACACCCTGGTGCCTCAGGAAGGAGCAACAGGTCCTGCCAAGGGCCCATGGTGGAACTGTGCAGAGCTGCCTCCTCCCAGCAACCCTTCATCCCTGCTCCTCTGCCACCTCCAGCGGCACCGATTGAGGATGTTCCCCACAAACGCCACCATCCCCACTCATCACCCACAGCCCCACCTCTCCTCGGCCCCTTCTCCAACAAAGCCGAGCCACAGGACTCCCAAAAGGCACAGAACTCGTAAAGGATGCTCAAACCACCTGGGGGGCAGAGCCTGCCAAGAGCTGAACCCCTGGATCAGCACCATCTCCGGGGGTTTTCAGGGGACCAGCCAATCTCCACAGAACGAGACCAAATCCAAAGAGCTGCCTCAGGGCTCCCATGACACTGTCAGAGACTTGAGAGCAGTGGAATTTTGGGAGGAGGGTATGAGCTGACAGCGAAGAGGAACAGAAAAGCCTTCCCAGAGAGGGGGCCCCAGCCAGGAATTCCAGCTACGAGGAACCAGGAGCTCCCTGGGAATCCTCGGCGCAGCTGTCACGCCAACAACTGTCACTCAGCTCTGCCATCAACCATGGGGAGCCCCAAATCCGATGGGAGCCCCCAAATCCGATGGGAGCCCCCAAATCCGATGGGAGCCCCCAAATCCAATGGGAGCCCCCAAATCCGATGGGGCAGATCCCCAAATCCAATCGTGCAGACCGCACCGCTCCCGTGACTCCGGTCACACTCCCTGCGGGATAACCCACGTGTTCTCGGGTGGGAAACCGAACGGAACTGGCACGGATTTGTTTTGGCCGCAGCAGAGACACAGAGGAAGAGCAGGGGCGGTGGAACGGAGATCCCAAACCTCCCCGGCGGAGGTGACAGCACGCGAGCTGGTGTCGCCCACCCACCGCCGGGTCCGCGACCCCCTCCCGCCCTCAGGTCCCGCCAGGCGGGGCAATCCCGGGAATCGACCCCAAAACCGTGACCCCCTCCCGGCCTCAGCCCCAAAACCGCTCCGGAGCCCCCCCGGCCTCACCTGTCTCCGCCTGCGGCTGCGGCAGCTCCTGCTCCGTGGCCGGGACGGTTTCTGTGGCTTCGCCGGGCATTTCTGCGGGAGGGAGGGACAAACCGACAGGCCCGGGCTCGCCGGGGCTCCGGGACAGCCCGGTGGGGCGACCCACGGGCGCCGGTAACTCGCCCTCCCCGCATCCCCCTGCCCCGGAGCACCGAGCGCCTCCCGCTACCGTGATAATCTACCGAGACAACTCCCCCGCACGGCCCAGGCCGAGCCTGAGCTCCGTCCCGACCCCGGGCCTCGGCCGCCCCCTTCTCCCCCCCTCCCGGCCCCGGTGCGCCGGGCTGCCCCCGGGCTCTCCCTGGCACGCCCCCAGCCGCATCGCTGGCCTCCAGCGGGTCCTCCCGGGCGCGCGGCGGCCCCTGCGGCGGTGGATGGCGGCGGATGGCGGCGGATGGCGGCGCGGGACTCACTGTGCGGGGAGCGGGGCCCAAGATGGCGGCAGAAAGAGACCGTGAGGGGAGAGCGGCTTCCGGGAGCGCGGCACTTCCGGGGCAGGGGGGAGCGCCCGGCAACGCGGCCCGGCCCCTCCCCACGGCCGCGCGCCGGAGTTCCGGGGGCTCTTCGGGCCGCCCCCGCTCCGGGCGTGGGGACCCCTCCCGGGTGTGGGGGGACCCCCGTGGGAGGGGAGCGAGGGGCGCCCCGGGTGTGGGGACCCCTCCAAGGTGTGGTGAGACCCCCGTGGGAGGGGAGCGAGGGGCGCCCCGGGTGTGGGGATGAGGTGCCGTGAACATGGGCCTTGACCTCAGCAGTGGGCAGGGGGTACAGGCAGGGGGTACAGGCAGGGGGTACAGGCAGGGGTTCTGGGGGGCAGAGACCCCGCAATGCAGAGCAGGGACACCCCCTCGGTGCTCCCCACGGGGATGGGACACAGACCCCAAACAGACCCCACACACAGACCCCACACGCAGAGCCCTGCCCACCTCAGGCACAGCACAAGGGTGACCAGAAAGGTTTAATGGTTTTTTTTGTAGAAAAGGTACAAAAAGTACAAAAAGTGGAAGGGGCTGTGAGTGACAAATGGAGCCGGTGCAGGTCGGCTGCTCCAAGGCACCAGGACCCCCACGGGCAGCGGAGGTGACAATGACAAGCACAGAGGTGACAAAGGCCATGGGTCCCTCGCCATCCCTGCATCCAGGACCCCGGGCAGCAAGGCCTCAGAAGTCTCCTTGAAGGTCTGCCAAGAGGAGAAACAGGAGATTTTCCAGAAAAAGAGCCGTTTCTCAGAGCCAGGGGGTCTCCCCCACCCCGGCACCCACCGCTCTGGCGCAGCCGCTCCCCCCGCCGGGCGCTCTCCATGCCCTCCACGAACTGCTCAAAGACCCTCACGTAGGGAGCCAGGCTCGTCCTCTTGTAGTCTGCGGGGTTGGGGGAGTGAGAAGGGGTGCTGGGGAGCCCCCCGCCCCAACCCTGCTCACCCTCACCCCCACCCAGACCCCCCTCACCCCTCGCCCGGCGCTTGGGCTCGCTCTCCCCGCCGTCCTCCTGCTCCCCATCGCTGCCAGCCGTGTCCAGCTCGTGGCACAGGGACCTGGGGGACAACCAGGCCGAGGTTTCGGGGCCGTGGCACTTCCAGGACCCCTCCCTCAGTGCTGCTGCCCCCGCTCACGCACGTGATGGTGGGGACAGCGAACGGGTCAAACTGGTCCAGCATCTGCAGGTCCAGCGGCACCGAAACGCGGCCTTGGGAGGCAGAGAGAGAGAGAGAGAGAGAGAGAGAGAGAGAGGGGGGTCACTTGGGGGCTGCCCCGGGGGTCCCGCTGCGGGGTCCCGCCCCGCACCCACCTGTTTTGGGGTGGACGCTGAAGGGGCTCTTGAGCAGGTGTCCCAGGCCCTTGCTGACGTTGATGTCGAGGCGGGGGAAGCAGAACTGCAGCATGATCTCCCAGTCAGCGTAGCAGGGGGCGGCGGCGCCGCGGCCCCGCGTGCGCTCCATGCAGCCCCGCAGCAGCTCCCAGCGCTGCGCCGAGTCCTTCCTGCGCGGGAACTCCGCCCGCAGCGCCTCGCGGTGCTGTGCCGGCCGTCAAGGCTCATCCTGTGCTGAGCCTGGACCCCACACCACCCCCCTGCAGACCCCTCCTCCGGCCCTGCAAGCAAGGATATCCTCCGGCACCAGGGCCAGCACCTTGTCCCAGCGCTCGGGGCTGCCCAGGATGTCCTGCCCCACCAGCGCGTACTCCTCGAAGTATTTCTCCACCACGGCCACCGAGCGCCTGCGGGGAGCGGGACGGGCTCAGCGCCCGCCGGGGGCTGCGGGGCCGGGCCAGGGGGTCCCCACCCACCTGATGAAGGGGTGCACGGGGTAGGAGAGGTTCACCTTCTTCACCGTCTCTGCTCCGCCCTGCGGGGACAGCGGTGCTCAGCCCGGGGGAGTGGGGTAGGGGTGCCTGGACCCCTGTGCACCCACTGTCAGCGGGGTCAGGGGGTGCCCAGAGCCCCAAACACCCACCTTCACCAGGCTCAGGGGGTGCCCAGAGCCCCACACACCCACCTTCACCAGGCTCAGGTACTCCACGGTGGCCGCCCGCAGCGCTGGGGACCATTTCCTCACCGTGTCGTCGCACACCCAGCAGTGGACACCCCTCCGGCCCGAGTACACCCACAGGCGATGCTTCAGGCCCAGGTCCTCTGCAGGGGGCACAGGGGGGTTTGGGGGCACACTGAGATGGACTGTGGTGACCACCCAAAGCTGGTGGTGCCACAAACCCACCGGGCACCGGCGTCCCCCAGCCCCACCAGAGCTCTGCCCCACCCCTTCTTTGAGGTCTGGGCATCACTGTGGGGCAGAGCGTGGCCTGCACGTGCACAGGGGCCCACGTGTGACACCTGGACGTGCCCAGGGGTCCACAGGTGCCCCCAGACCCTCACCCGTGAGCGCGCGGTCGATGACGCGGACGGCGATGGTCATCAGCGTCCAGCACTTGGAGCAGATATCAGCCGAGCTGGGGGCAGAGTGTGAGGGGTCAGGCGGCCGTCCCACACCCCCAGGCCCCCAACCCAGCCCAAAATTCCCCCCTAGGAACCTGCAGCATGTCCGCACATCATCGTAGTCCGTCATGTCGATGTCGAAGACCAGCTCCTTCTCCTGCGGCTGGAAGGTCCCCAAGTGCACCGTGTTGTGCTGGCTGGGCTGTGGGAGGGACAGGATGGGCTCAGTGATTCAGGGACCCCCGCGGACCCCCCAGCACGGTGCCCGGGGCTCACTCACCCGCACGGAGTAGATGGCCCCGATGTCGATCTTGTAGGGGTTGATCTTCTGCAGCTCCCGCTCCAGCTCCTGGGGGCTGCTGAAGGACTGGAACCGCAGGTACACGTCGTCCCGCAGCGTGAAGGAGAATTCCCGCAGCTGGAAGTAGTTCTTCGCCACTGCAGGGGTGCGGGGAGGGTCGGGGGGGAGTGACAATGCCCTCAGCATGGTACTGATGCCCCCCTTCCCGTATCGGTGCCTCCCACCCAGCATCGGTGCCCCCATCCCATATGAATGCCCCCCATCTCATATGGATGCCCCCCATCCCATCCCATCCCATCC